TTTTCTCTAATGGTTTCTACTGTTAAAATTTCTACTCCGCATACTTAATATTTGTTCACTGATGATTTGTCAGGATAGACTTGTTGTGCAACCAGGACTGTTGTCAGAAACCAATGTTGTCTTGGGCCCTGTAATGAACCTATAACAAATTTTGTCCATGCCTCCAAGAATTTCAGTGACAAACTTGCACACAGCATCTACTTAGTAAGCGATTACAACTTTGTTTTCCTATATTTTTAGGTTTGATATTGCTTTTAATTAGTGTGCTGACAGTTTACTTGTTAGTCAGTTTTCATGATAAAACCCTTTTGGAAAAGTAGAGCCCTTTAATTTCTCAAAGCACTGTCGCTATAGCCATAAAAGTTTAGATAGATGCCTTTGCATCACATTGTATGTTTTTCGAGCGTCTTACCATGTGTTGTCAAGTTAAAAATAGTTTGAGTTTTAAAAACAAGCCTTGAACATTCAGTTCCATTCTATTTTGCTTTGTCAAGATGTCTTATGTAAACGCCTCTATAAGAAACACGTCCAATCAGGTTCAGATGAACCTGAAACTAGCCTAATTATACGGAGCTTCCATAATACGATTAGTGTAATAGCCATTCAGACAGATCAATGAACATTCACTTTTAAAAATATGGTATTATGTACATCTCTAATATTCACATAAAGCGCAAAGTAATGTTCAACTTAGGATAACATTTTAAAATTGCTCAGACACTTAAATAATCTGCTGTAGTTTACATGACTCCATCCCAGGACAATTTAAATCTAAAACTGAGATTTGATTCCAGACATTTTTGCAGCAAATCACTCTAGTTTGCAGCTAGTGTTGTCGTCTTTTTTGCATTTTTCTATACAGACCTTCTCCAACTCCTTTTATTGTTAGCTATGTTGACATTTATTCCTGTCAAATTTGCAAGCACAGAAAACGCGGAAGCTCTGACAGTGTGAATGACCGAATCGGAACAGTTGGCGGAACTACTTTTCCGGAATTTCTGTGGAAAGAGGCTTAAGGTTTCTAGCTGCCACACCTAATGGTGTTGACTGGTGTGTAATTCGCTGCAGACAGGCAGTCAAAGGTGTTGGGAGGTGGAGAAGAGTGGTAATCCTGTTACCAGGCCTCTTGCAATCTGCTCGAAAGTCTGTCGTCTTTATCTCAGTGCTGCCCAAGATAGAGGAAGAAATAGAGACAGTGGCTTTATGGTAAACACAGCCCAAAACTCTAGGCTGGATTAATCATGCACAGAGGTTGTAGTTATTTCCCCGACAGAGTCAGGTTTGGGCAAGGTGCTCAGTTCATGGTAGCCAGTTTGTTTTTTTTTTTTTGGTGCAGATCTATTAATTTATTTAAAAATACATTTACATTGCAATTCATACGTAAAGTCATTTGAATGCACCTCTTCTATAATAGGCATGTTTTACATTTTTTTATTAAAATTCATTTTTTGAGAAGATATCCAAATTGTCGGGGTGATACAATTGTCTTGGTGTCATACTGAGAAATTCTTTAAAGGAAAACATTATATTTGAAAAACTTTGTCCACCAAGTCATGTGGAGCAGAAAAGAGAAAACAAAAAACAGGAATTGACCCCTCATGACTTTGAGTCAAGGTCAATAAGTCTCCTTAAATATCAGATCTTTTGACTTTTTAATAACAAAGAAAAAAGAAAAAAGTAAAAACATCTAGAAGAAATCCTAAAATATGGGATCTTTTGACTTTTTAATAACAAGGCAATGTCATGTGGTGCGACTCTCCCAAAAAGTAATATTAGTAATCTAAAAATTGTAAAAAAAAAAAAAATCTTCAAAAACCTGAAATAATGATTTTAATAAATGGTTACACCACAGAGGCATTTTAGAGGCATTAACTGTAACCTTTCTAAATAATGGTATTTCATATGAAAATAGTATAAAAGTGTGAGAATACAAAGAATACATTCTTTTATGTTTATGAGTATTTTATGTTCCCTTTCAGTCAGTCACGTTTGACGTTACGTCAGTCGTGACTGACGAATTGGGATCTCGCCCGAGAGCCCAATCACCTTCGAGTGTTAACTAAACAAGCCAATGACAGTTGGCACGAGTGTGCTGGGTCCTCGGACAGGGAAGCGGGCATCTTGTGCGGAGCACTTGTGCGCATGCTGTGGTGCGGTCCAGCATCTTGTGCGGAGCACAGGCGGATGACAGGATGTCGATCGCTGCATCGGAGGGCGAGCTAGGCTCTGGAGATGAGGATTCGGCTGA